CTTTGGTCAGTACAGTTGGGCGAGGATACATGCATGGATGGCCAGTTTTTGCGGTTATGGCTTGGCATATCTGAGAAGAAGTGTGGACCTGGGTATGGAGTTCATGTTGGACATCAATAGAGCAGCAATCTCATCAAGTACCTGTATCATTACAAAAGCCTCAAGTCGTTGCCAAATGTTAATAGATGTCTTGACTATGGCTTCGACAAAGTGTACGAAGCAATTGATGATGTATTGTAGTTAAGTGCGTAGCTAGCGTGAAATAAATCTGACCTGACCTGGCACTCTTCCCAAAGCAGGAGGAGTGCCTTTTGGTATTAAACATTAGAACCACGATGCAGAAAAATCCCCGCTCCCAGGTTCGTCACCTTGACAGACAACAGCAAAAGTTAGCCCACAGGGTTCTCAAAGCAAGTGGCCACGGGGTAAAGGAACCCAGAAAACATACCACGATCAGCAGCCATCCGGCCGTTCAGAAAGGCACTGGTCCATGCAGTGATTGCCCACAATAGCACCATACACCTTGCCAGAGACGTAGCTGCGCATGATGTCACGGCAGTTGTCGTACACAATCTCCGCGGCGGGCACGAGCTCCGCGACGGGCGTCGGCTTGTCAATGAAGGCGGTCCAGCTGACGCAGCACCGCGCCGTCTCGATCTCGAGACAGTAGTCCTGAGGGGTACCGCGGATCATGTCGTTGGCCTTGTCCGTCTTGAGGACCTTGATGAGGCGATAGCAGATGCTGGCCATGGCCTGGTGGCCCTTGTCGCAGACGAGCTCGTTCTCGCCGCACATGGCGGACGACGGCTCGCCGGCGTCGTCGTTCTTGGCGACGGTGTTGTCCTCACCGTCAGCGGCGGGGGTCTGGGTGATGGTGATGTCGGTGTAGTTCTTGCGGCCCCAGACGGAGAAGGTGCCGATGTCGTTGGTGTAGAGGTCGAGGACGATGCGCGAGGGGAACTCGGCCTCCATGGCGAACACGGCGTCCGCCTTGGGGAGAAGGTGAGGCGGCAGAGCTCTCGCGACCTGCATGTTGGCACTCAGCGCCGTGGTGGCCTCGGGGATAATCATCTTTGGCGACGGTGCACTATCGATGATCAGTTGTCTGTATGTTGCACTCTTTACACTTGGTAAGACTTGATGTGACCTTACCTTGAAGGCAAGATTGCCTCGACTTGCTTGTGTGAAGGAAAGGCTGTGAAAGAGGGAAAGATAGAGCTGCGAAAGGCAGTCCGTACGCCGCAGGATTTATACACGCCGTAGGAGAGAAAACATTAATATGTGTACGTGTGCGTGTGGCTGACGAAAAATCCCTACCTAGGAAGTAGACAGCGAAATGAGAGACCGTGAGTGTAGAGCCCTCGAACTAAAGGAGTGCAGGAGAATAGTATCTCAAGTGTGGGAAGGACAAAATGCCGTCAAGGTCACGATACTCGAAAAAGCGTATCAACTGGTAGACCACCCTGCTAGAATGAAAATGGCCCTGCCGCAGACCGGGGCACGGGGGATTGAGTTCTTTTCTAGACAGACTATGTAGTTGTGGACTCCGAGGTCTGCTCAGCAAGGTCCAAGGCAACGAATGATCTATCATGAATAGTAATGCCGGTAATGAGCACTCAATCAAGTGACATTGAGTGAGCAATCAAATATTCTCAGTGGCTGCATCCTCTGTAGCAAATACAGAACTTAATGCGTCCTCACCGCAAGGGTCCACGCTCTTTTGCGTCCCTCTTCCCAACAGAGCCTGCCAGCTTCCCACAGCTCGACGGCAGGTGGCTGCATATGTACTTCTTCGTAAGCCCTTGCATGAACGTCGGCGTCCCTCTGGGATGATGTTAGTTTGAGCTGAGCAGGCCCTCAGGTTCCAGACCGATAAGTTGAGGCTGGAGACTAGAAACTTAGAGGAGGGGTGTAAGTAAGGAAGCATGCCATAAGAGGTAAGTCACCAGGAAGCAGATAGACCGGAACACACGGCCATTAGAGTCACAAAAGTGTGGGAAAACAACAAGGTTTGAGGTCTTGACAAACTTGATTTCACCCAAAGGTCCCTCTCTGCCCGGAGCGGAAGTATCCCTACTCATCCACCAACGCCATTCGCCCAACGTGGGAAGCCACTAGATAAACCACACCAAGCAATCTGCTTTTCGCCCAACGTACAGCGAGGCACACTCCCAAGTCCCAGACCGAATGATCATCAAGATTCCTACGCCAACCACCTTCGAATAGCGCCAGCATGACCCTCTCGTTAAGAGAAACAGACAACGGGTTAAAAGGACCATGATACAAGGCGAGGACGCACAGCCTATTTAGTACTACAAGCAGCAGCAAATTCGTGAATGACTGAGGGGTATCGCAACTGCAGACCAATGACCGACCAACTAGCAAAGCAAACAACAGGATTGGTTCACACGCAGAACGGTCACGAACAAGTCAACAACGTGGCGAAAAAGCAAACTAAAAGCTAGGAAATCTCTGTTGGGGGAGTCCCGTGTGGAAGTAAGACGAATAGAAGGGGCAACCAAGTCGCAAAACCATCCGAACCCGACGCCCAAGACAAGCCCAGATGTCCAGAGAGGTAACTAAGGCCGCAAAGCATGCAATCGTCGTTCTCGTGATGTCTCACAATCGTATCCGCTATCCGTATGCCTAACATCAAACAAGTCCAAAGAAATATGTGTCATTCGCCCAGGTATCCATCGTGCAGCGTTAAGAGTCCAAGGCGGCGGCAGCGAACGAAGAACGATGAGAGAAGCTCGAGAAAGGGTGAAACAATAAGACAGTTGAGAGCGCAACTCTCAATATTTCCTCAAGTGCTCAACTTGAGCCCAGAGGCAAGGGGGCCGTCCAGGAGACCCTTGAAACCTTCGATCTACTACAGAGGATGTTAGCCCAGGTGTGTTCTGACACATGACCCATGGATGCTTACCTGAGGAGGGGCACCAGGAGGGCCCTGAGGTCCCGGAGGGCCATGAGGACCCGGCGCACCGAAGTGAGCAGGTCCGTAGGCGCCAGGGCCGGGAGCCGGAGCGAAGTAGTGAGGCGGGGGAGGGGCAGGACGGTAGGGGGTACCAACACCAGAGTTGTTTTGGCTGCGGCCCCAGCTCAAACGGACACGGGAGTTTCCAATAGGGTATCCCTGCATCTGGTTGATGGCCATCTCGGCAGCGTGGCGATGGACGAACTGGACGAAACCACAGCCCTTTCCAGGCGGGATCTTGACGTAGGTGATCTCTCCGAATCCTTGGAAGAAGCTTCGGAGCTCATCCTCAGTGACGTAGCCAGACAGGCCACCGACGAAAACGGTCGTGTTGTTGGGGTCGGTGAACTGGTTCATCTGCTGACCAGGAGGGTTGTAGGGGGCTCCGTAAGCACCGCCGTACTGGGCAGGCGAGGGAACGCCGTAGAAGCCCTGCTGGTGAGGGGGGAGGCCAGGCGCCATCATCTGGTTACCATGGTGCTGCTGGTAAGGGCCGCCGTGGTTGCTTCTGCTTTCGTTAGTTTCTTATATTCAAAATTTGGCAAGACGTGCAGACTCACCGGTTCTTGGGGGTAGCGGTGGAGATACGCATGGGGCGGTTGCCGCAGTAAACTCCCTGCATCTCCACAAGAGCACGCTGCTGGTCCTGCTCGTCGGTGAAGCGGACGAATCCGTAACCACGCGACTGTCCCGACATGGCATCGGTCATGATCTTAGCAGACTTGCAGGAGGGGAATCGCGCCTGGAAGAGAGACACGAGAACGTATTCGTTGACCTCAGGGCCAAGGTCGCCAACGAAGATCGAGTACTCGGGACCACGATCGTCGCGGCGGTCGTTGATGCCGCCACCGGAAGCCCAGTTGAGCTTGAAGGCGCGGTTGGAGTTGGGGACGGGGGATCCGTTCAGGGTGAGGGCCTTGCTGGCGGCCTCGGACGAGGTGAACTCGACGAAGCAGTAACCGGCATTGCCCGAAGTCTTGTCACGAATGACCTTGACGTTGACGGGCTCTCCGGTGGCGGTCAAGAAGACACCCTTGATGAAGTTCTCATCCATCCAGGGCTCGAGCTCGCCCATCCTGTCTTGTGTTAGTCCAAGCTAGAATGCAAATCTGGATGGTCACGTACCAGAGAGTGTTCTTATTCGCGTCCTGCTGGATGGGGGCCTGGCCGCCCGGGATCTCTCCGGAACCATTGTTGCCGGGGAAGGGCATGCCGCCGGAGACGGGAGTACCGAAGCCATCGCCGTTAGCGTTGGGAGGGGGGGCACCGTTGCCCTGAGCGGGGTTGTACGGGTTGATTCCGTCCATTTTGGTGGTAGGATAGTAGTGACAAGTTCAGAAGTGTAGCTGTCCGCTTTCAAAAATGGTTGATGGTTTCGAGAATCGAATCAGAACGGCCTGTTTTAAGACGCAAAACCTGTACTCCGAAGGGAACTTGGTAAAAAGTCGATTCTCTCTGACGCCTGCACGCCCCGTTGTGAAAACGAAAAATCGAGATGTCGCGGGATGTTCGTGCAAAAATGCTTTAGCCGCCGACTCAAAGAACCGAGCAATGCTTCAAATTCGACTTTTAGGTCTGTTTCGCCGTGGCCAACGTGAACTTTGAACGGTTCGAGAAAAGGTCAGAGGAAGAATCCGAAATGATTGGACCTGACTAGGGTTAGCGTTCAGATGTACACATGTCATCTTGTCAGCTCGTTGTGACAGTTGCATTCACAATCGCATTCGCAGTCACTCCGCAGTTGCTCGTCCAGCAGCTGTGCCCGCAGGAATCATCGTGGGTGGTGGTTGAGAGCGCAGCACATGCGGCATGTGTCCAATGCCGGTCAAATTGGTACCGTGGCAGGGACGTCCCAGACAATCCTTCGCAAACAGACACCTGAGGGCTGGTATGGCGTAGAGAGCTTGCAAGCCCTTCAGTCCGCTTGCAGTTGAGGTATAGCAAGCTTTGAGAGGGCGGTGGCCGGGCAGCTTGTGAGGCAATTGACGGAGGTCATCTGACCGTCTGCCTTTCGCGAGACACGTCATCTTCTCAGCAACGAGAGGCCTTGGTGACACAAGACCAGATATTGCCATCTAGCCTGGTGCTTTTTCCTGTCCTCGGTGTGTGATGCGCTGCAAATCCAATCTTCGCCCTCTCCAGTGTGTTGCGGCATTTCGGCTAGGCGTTGGGCTTCTAACGAGAGAACCGTGGCATACGTCAGGCCGATATTGCAGAAGTTCGTGATGAGGCCTTCCTTCCTTCCCCATGGCCAAAAGAAGCTGCGAACACAGCGCGGCGGGTGAGGTAAGACGGGACTTGCGGATATCTTGGGTGCGGGGGTGAGAAAGAGCCGGTTGCTGATGGTGCATATTTCGTTTTCCCGGGCGTCTGACGGTGACGACTCGTTGCACGACACGTCAAGGCTGATGGCTTCGGCATTTGGTTGTCGATCTTCAAGCGCGATCCGGGATGATCCACGATGCATGGAGGGGTTCGATGATGCGCCCAGAACTGCAATTCCATCTTTTCTCCGACCAACATCCTCCAGAATCGCTCTTGGGGTCAATTCGAGGCGAGCAACGTCGAGGTACTCAGCAGAGGATTGCCGAGGATGCCGAAGGCCGGATGGTCGGACACGAGCGTTCGATTTGCGACTGCGGTTGCGGTTGCGGATGCGACTGCGAGAATGCGACGGAGGAGGGGAAGAGGAGTAAAGGCAGAGAGAGAGAGGTAGGAAGAAACAGTGAGGCAGAGATAGAGAGCATTGATTACTTACTTTTGGGCGCCAACAAAAAGACTCTTTTTCCGGATGACCAGGAAGAAACGTCGTGCGACTCGTAAGGAGGGTGGGTGAGAGTGGTGAGGAGGAAGAATTACAGAGTAATTTTCGTGTCGAGGGAGGAATTTGGGGATGGGGGGGTTAAACGACGTGGGAGGAACCGGACAAGGAAGTTGCGCGAAGAGATTTTTTTTTTCGCAGCTGGTGAAGGCCGTGGATCTCGCTCTAGTCAGTGGTGACGTGAGGTGGACAAAAAACGCGGCAGCTGGAGCAGCACGGATTTCTTTTGCAACAACCAAGACAATCGCTGAAAAGGATGCTTCGATTTTTTTAGCAAAACCCGCAGAGCAACGCAGAGGAGCAGAGCAGATCGCAGAGAGCAGACAGAGAGACGACAGAAGAGGCAGAGAGAGGTGCAACTCTAAAGAAAGAGGAAGAAGGAGAAATGGACGATGATGGGGGTAGAGGGGGGAGTGGGAAGAAGAAGGAACCAAGGGAAGGGAAAGTGGAAGGAAAAGGAAGAGACCACCGGCCAGAGACTCACGCCAGACGCCAAACGGGGTACCTAGGCAAGTACCTTCCTTACTCACTGGCAATGGAGGACGCAGGTGCAGGCGCAGGCGCAGGCTCGGGACGTAGAATGTGGATTTTTGGGCGAGGGGGAAAGGGAAAGCACGACCTGAACTCTAGGGGTGAGAGGGGGTGTGCGAGGCGGAAGGAAGACAGGCAGGTACCTTCCTGGGTATTGATTTAGTATGTGCGTGTGTGCGCAAGAACCTAAGGTTGTGTGTGTCCATATGTGTGTGTGTGTGTGGGTGTGGAAGGAACCTTGGGCCCTTAGGGTGAGGTGAGCTAAGGTACCTTACCACATACTTGGCTATTCTCTCTGTCTGTTTCTCCCGTTTCTTCCGTCTCTGTTTTGCGTGTCTTCGATGCTGTTGCTGGGGACGGCAAGTGCTTGTGTCCGGTACCTAAGGCAGCTAGAAGTATGGGATGTCTGTGTGCATGTGGTGCTGTGCGTGCCTCCTCCCCAGCTCTTCGGAGCAAGCAGGGCAAGGTATCTCTTACCTTAGCTTAGCTCTACTTTTTACAAGGTACCGGTGGGAGAAGGTAGGTACTTTTACCAAAGGTAGGTAGGGAAGGTATGGAGTCGAGGTTGAGGTGCCTTCCAGGTTGAAAGTTGAGCGCAGGTGGAGCATCAGCAGACGAGCCTGTTTCCTTACGTACCTACCTCGACTTAAGCCGCACTTTACTGTGTGTGTACTAGCCGGGTGCATCTCAGCAAGCAAGCGCACCGGGTCAATCCAGGTCAGCCGCAGCAAAATAGAACCTAAGAGGCTCAGACTCCAAATCGACGAAGCAGCAAAGTGGGCAAGTCTCCATTGGCCATAAGTCCATGGAGGGTTGGTGTGGGTCTGGTGTCGGTGCTGATGCCGTGCGCTGGAGTTGGGGGAGCCGTGGCTGCCACCAGCGAGCTTTAATAGAACGCCGGCAACAGGCGGACTGACATCGCGTTTTTCAGGTCAGGTACGTGCATCTACGGAAACAGCACGAGGCGCCCGAATGTGTTTGTTTTTTCTCTCTTGGTTTGCCCTTGCCTCCATGTTGAAGTCGTCGGCGAGATTTTACTCCAGGACATTGGATATATCGATGACAGTTTGTGGTGAGGCAAGTACTCTCAGGGCTGGCCTGGGGCATCCACCTCGTGACTCCGAGGCCAGATTACCGAATGAGAAATAGGGTGTCGTGTGTGTGGGAAGGAATGAAAGGAAGGAAGCCGACAGGTACGGAATACAAGCAAAGGTGCAGGTGCAGCTGACAGCCCTCGCGGCAAGTGACAACCGACTTTCCTCGCGACACTTTGATTCTGTCCTGGAAAGGAGTTTGCGCTTCCCATGTTCTTTCCACCTGGCCGGATAATATTCAATTCGATATACCTTAACGGAGCACCGATGCAATAGGTAATAAGCTCTTTCCGTCCGTCCGTTCATGCCCAATTGATAATGGATTGGCGCGTGCTCTGTCCCTTTCTACCCTGACCCGGGAAAAGAACGAATGAAGAGCGCCCCAATCCAATCCGGCCCAGCTTGTCCAGGTTCTTTGCACCTTGCAAATGGCAACTGTACGAAAAGGCAATGTCCGGGACTATGGGCAGCAGAGACTCAACCTCGGAGGCTCAGGTTGGCCCGGTCACTGGCGGCGTGAACGTGGACTTGCCCTGACAGGAAAGGCATCCCGGCTCCTGCCCTCGCGTCCCCCCATCTGCCTGAAAACCTTGTTGCTGCTCATGGGCTCCATCTTGTGCATCCTTTTTTGGCTCCGTGACTCCGTCCGGTTTCTTTCGTGGACCTATTCCGCTTCCCATGCGTCTTTGTATCTTTTCCTCCCAGCTGCATGCCGTACCGCATCCGCAAGATGTAGATCGCCCCAAAGCCAGACGACAGAGAAAAAAAGGCTTTCAGTCACTTCTGATGCATGCCGCCGGCCATAGCCAATCTACGATCTTGCACCAAAACGACGGTACCTTAGGCCTCATTAGGGCGAGGTAGGGCAATCCTCCGGGCAGATCATACGGGGGCGGGAGAGACACGCTAAGCGCAAAACGCAGTTGCCCTACGTTGACGCCTCGTCTCGCCTGCCTTACCTTGCCGTGCTTGCCTTAGCTGGAGGGGAGCTCACGGCGCGAATCCCAGTACGTACCGGATCAAGACGCGAAATGGCGTCACGCAAAAAGGGAGGAGCAGGGGGTCCGCCGGATTGGGGAGGGGCTCTTTTCTTGACCCTGCAGCCAGGTGTCGCCTTATCCCCGATGCCTCACCTCAAAATCGGGAGGAAGGCACGAAGGTACCTATCTTACCACGGGAGGTACTTCGATATCACAGTTTGATACGGCAGTGAATTTTCGATCAACCTAGTATCTGCGCAACATGCAATACCCAGTCTGCCAGAAATCCATTCTCAACAGATAGGTAATACCTCATCATCACATCAATCAACCTTTTCATATGCAGCCACCTTGGTATATTGGCCTCAGTAGCCTTACTCAAGACAAGTCATCTCTCCACCTTCACGGTCGTCGGACGCCCCAACCACACCAGCCACAGCAACAGGAATGCGAGCTGTTCTTACTTCACCTTCACTGCGAGCCTCGAGGACGATCATCCCAGGCTTTGCTTGCTTTTCCGGTTGAGGCCACGCGAATTCACTCGCTACTCGCACCGCATCCAGCCGGACTCGAGCAACGTCGGCCCGGCAATGGTTCGCTTGAAATGCGCCGGCTCAGTCCCTCATTCCAGATGCCGCTCACCGATCGGGCCCTTCCCGCTCGCATGTCTCTCCATCATCAGCCGCTGGCCGCTGGACGAGCACGAACGACGAGATGGCGGATGCGACAAACACCAAAGAGCGGGCCGCATACAAGACATGGGCCTCCTTTCATTTCTTTTTCCCCGTCGCTGACTTCCTCCACGGAAATCTCCTCGACAACTTCTACATGCGCCAGCCGATGTTAGTCTTCGACGCGTGTTGACTCCCCCCCCCCCCTTCCCTTCGAACATGTCCCAGAGTCAGCGGGACATGTCGTGATATTAACCTTTGCCGCAGCTGTCTTCGAGCCTTAACTCGCTAACCGATTGTGCGCGCACCATGTTTCGAAACACTTCGACGGTGTCAGTTTCCGCTCCGATCCAAGGACAGTCCTCGCTCTTGGCCACCCGTTCGCTCCCCCAACAGTGCAGAACACTCGAGCTTCTTCTGTCTGTGCAGCTGCCGCACGACCGCCCTCATTAATATCGAGGAAGCCATTCTACAGTTTTGTACATAGTTCCGATTACCACTTCTAGCAACGAGATCAACAAGTAATGCGCCAGAGTATGCTGTTTGCACACGGTGGACTTGGTATTCGTGGCCTGCGACTATCTCCTCCCAACTCGTCACGACAGACAGCTAGTATGACCGTCACCGAAGATGCCGGCCGAGTAGGAATCCTGGCCGACCGGCTAACCTTGACTACGAAAAGACACGTCAAAAGGCTCTGATATCGGCAAGTCATGGCTGCCTTGCCTTCCTTGGTACTCCCGTCCGGGAGATGGTCGAATAGCAGCGTTGACGTTGCACGGTACTTGCACCGCACTTTACGCGATCCTCGTCCTCTGAACAGGTCACCCCTGGCTTACCGGTGACGTTGGCAGAGGCATTGATTAATTGTTCGTCTACGGATACCGCAGTCGTCAACGAAAGCCGCAGCGGCCAGAACAGCCCCTCCTTACGAAATCTGGTTAAAGTGCTGTCTCCGCGCCTCATTGACACGCTGGCACTCCGGCAGCTAAGGCACGCGTCTCCTTGTCCGGGGCGGACGGCTGTGAGGTTCAACAAGGAGCCGAAGCCTCGGGATCTGGGCATCGTCCGCCGCTGTGCCGCATCCACCCTGTCGGCTAATTGCCCGAGCGATGCCCAGTGGTGGTGATTTTACGACTTCGAATGGGCTGAGAGTACACCGCGCGTCCGCCATGGGTACTATTCAGGATTGTCCATATTACGGATTAAATCTTATTCGGATCGCTCAAGTTCTCATGTATGCAAAGGGCCGAAGCTGTCGTCGGGCTTGCAGCATTTGCACAGCACCCAGTAGCAGCCAGCACGACTCGCATGACGGTGAATTTCGGGTCTCCGTCGCATGCCGACTGACGCTTATTGGGTACATCAATCATTGGCTTGACAGTATTTTTTTTGCCCTGAGAAATGAAATCATCGGTCGGACCAGGGTGGAAGGGGGTGGCCGCATGAAGGAGAGTTCCCACTGCTACCGTGGATCGAGGTGTGGGAAGAGTTAGATCTCTGGATTTTCTAGCCCTTCTCTCTCACTGGTCGCTGCCTCGACGCGCCATGTGGCCCGGCCTCACTCAGAGATGCTGTGGGCTTGGATTGGTGGTGAGTTCAAATGACTCCCT